AAAATAAATTAAGAATATGCAAGAGACAAAAGTAAAGTGTAAAAAGTTCACATCATGAGGAAACAAAGAACCCACACGAAAGGGTAAATACCATATTACTAGCATACTTATATAAAAGTGAAAGCAATCTTTCGCAAAGTATTGCAATGCTTGGTATGAAAATCATGCTTCCTTTTCTTTCTTTTTAATAATAATATATACATGATCTGTTATTTTGATAGGATACTTTCACCCCTAACATGAAGTATGAATTTGAACTTCTATACTTATATCTGTTTTTCACAAAATGTATCAAACTTTGCAATAAATATTCATACTATTTTTAAAATAGTAATTTCAGAGATTTCAATTTGTTTAAAACACTAGATACACTGAAAATTCCATAATTTTAACCAAAAGGGTAGTATTGTTATTTCTCTTCAGATACAGCAGATTTTAGATTAGGAATAGATCAATAATGTAACAAATGATAAATCTTCCCAATTTTCTTTAATGCTATGAATTTGATTAACTATGATTCTTTTGAATTGACAATCTAAAAAATAAAATTGTTACATTTTTGAAATGGTGAATCCCTAGCAAAATTTCAAGAAATGATTTTATACCTTACTTTGTTTTAATAATTATTTTATCAACATCAGTTCATCTATGAATTTAATTTGGTTTAATGATGATACTAATAACAATTTACATCACATCAACTACAAAATGTCAGTGTGTATTAAAAAAAATGTTAAATATATTATTCAATTGAATTAATTTTTATGGAAACTTTTACAGATGTTCATGTGTGGACAAGAGAAATTATGTACAAAATTTCATTTTGTTAATTATTTTGAAGGTTATTTTGTACTAATTTTTTCTTTTTAAGAAAAAAAAAATGAAAAGAGATCATTACACCAACTTTAGAACAAAAAATTTAAAGGAAAAGCAAGATAACTAATTAGTTATCTTGCTTTTCCTTTAAATTTTTAAAATGTTTAAAAGAACTCAAGTTATAGAATTCTATAAGAGGGAATGAATAAATACAAAGTGAAATTAAATGACAACACCAAGTAATAAGATCAACATGCCTTCAATCTGTTGATTATGTCCCAAATCAATGGCCAGCTAAGGGCCCATTTCTTTAGTTAGTTGGTTAGTTTTTGATGGAACTACTCAAATGTCTGACATGAAAATATTACTAGAACCATATACTAAGGCAGATGGAGAATATTCAACTGTTTTATTACTAAAATTTTGATTTTTTTTCCTGCCCAAACCATCTGATGGTAAGTAAATATATATATTAAATGTAAGCATCGGATTTATGGGATTATTAGGAAGTTATTTTCCTTGACGTCTGGCGCTGACTAGATGAGAACAAATAAATAGGTGAGAAAAAGTGTAACCTTACTGCAACATCAGGTAATAAACAATACCAAAAAGATTGTGTACATATATATATATATATATATATATATATATATACTTGAACACACTGTTTATTGGCTTATGTTCAGTACCAAAACAAAGAAAATAGCAGTCACGAGCTAGTCATAGTTAAATGTGTTTACTCAGAAATAAGCCTACTGAAATACTAATATCTTTGATTATATAATTTCTCCCCTGGGCCTATGGTCCTACAAAAATCTATTAAATATTCCACCTAGCTGTGAATAGACCCTGCAAAGTAAATATATTACAAGTCAAATCTGAAAGTGCAATTAGATAAGTATAAACATCTGCATTGATAGATAAAATATACCAAAGTAAAAATACTGCTTTATACAGTAAATGCCTCACTTAATGATAGTGTAATTAAAACATTTTTTCTGATTTAAATGATTTAAAAACTTGATGTAAAATAGCTTTCATAAAACTAACATGAACAGGTCTAATCAAAATTTAAATTTTACAAATATATGAAAGTACTGTTTTGTATTTAGAGTATAAAGCATCAAATCTAAATAGTAATTTGTTTTAATTTTTTTTTTTTTTTTTAAATAAAAAGCCACTAAGATGCAAAGAGTAAAGAAAACTGAGAAAATGTTACTGAAGACAAAAGAACAAAATTTCAAAGAGACAGAAAATGACAATTAAATAAAAACCATACCTGTTGACATTTGATATATTTCTAAAATATTTTCCATTTCATTCTAGTAAAAAAATCCAATATAAATTTTGACACAAAAAAATAAAAATAAGAAAATCTCAGAACATCTTAAGTCCAAATTTGATGACAATAATCTCTCTCTACACACACACACTTTTTGTGTGTGTATAACAACTGAGGGGAAGTGTGCAAAATAACACTGACCCATCTGGCCAAATTCAAGTTATATTTATTTTTGAAAAGAAGAAAAAGAACTTGAGTTAAATAAAAATTATGAGAGACAGACCTGAGTTACGGGCAACACTAATCGTATTTTACAAATTTAACTATATTTACATTAATTTTAGAAAAAATAAAGTTTAGTATAGTTTTTGCTTTAATAAAACTTAATTTAAAATTATTTTCATTTTTTTATGTCAGTTTCCTGTCATCTTCTCCCTAATAAAAAAGAAGAAATATTAAGTTTTGTTTTTAAAATATGCAATGATGAATGAATCATAAAAAGTTAAAGTAATTACACAAAAAAATATGGACATAAATTCAAGAGAATAGAAAATTTAATACATACAGCATTTCGAAATTATCAGCAGAATTAAAAAGTAAAAACAAACAAGAATAATAATTATCCCCGTTCATTTTTACTTTTTAATTCTGAGTTTCGAAATGCTTACATGGCTAAAAATGAATTCTAATACAATTATTACATATTTTTAATTTTAAAATATCTTCGCAAATACAAATCATACAATGATAATTTTTTTGCAAAAGTTGAGTTGAATGATACTGAGTCTGTATATATATTTATTTTGTCATTAATCATTATATGTTAAAATTCGGAGTATATCTTGTGGAATTTGATGATAGCTTGAGAAAAAAAAATAAATTAAAAAAATATACCCGATGATACGTTGCTCTTAGTAGGATGAGAAATAAGCAGACTCTGAAATTACAGAAATTACTGTCAAGGATTACTCAGACCTTCCAAAATTTACACAAAAAAATATTGTGCTTTGGGAACTTTTGTAGTAAACATAATTTTGGTTGCAAATATGTAACATTTATGAGGAGTTAATGTTAACAACTATTTTAAATTATCAAAGTGTACTTGGATTAAACAAAAATTACTAACAATATACTACATATTACTTACATTCCTTCTTGCTGTCAATTTTGACAGCACTGGTACACTAGTTCATATATAATAAGTAAGTTGAGTGAGCAAGAAATATTTCTTTATAATAAATTTTATAATTTATAAGTTTTTATAAGTCAATGACATGTCTCAAGACTAACGAATTTCATCTACATTAGTATCTCCAATGCCTATCTCAATTACAGCAGTACAGGGTGCGGCTGGTATTTGAGCAGATACAGATTTAAGATTAATATTGTTACCCACTAACTTCTAATGATTTTATTTTTCAGAAATCAAGAATGGCAAACCCTATGATAACAAATGAAATGAAAAGGCATGCTGTGATTGTGGCTTTAAAGGTTGATCATAGTAATTTGGATATTGCACGTATCCTCAGAGTTACAAGATGATTTGTCCACAAGATACAAAAAGAGTTAGAAGACGCTGACAGTTCCCCAATGTCTGTATCAAAACATAAAAGACATTCTGCATGTTCTGATAAAGTGAGAACATCCGAATTTATTCAGGAAGCCAAGCATATAATTGATGAAAACCATGGTCAATCAATGAGGTCATTTGCCAAAATGCTGCAGGTCTGAAAAACAATTAGGAGTGTTGCTGAAGATATTCGATACAAGTCTTACATGATGAAGAGAGGTCAATTTATGTCTGAAAAAACAAAAGAAAACCATTTAAACAGATCCAAAAGGCTTTTAAACAAACTTAAAAATCCTTCAGAAGCTGGTGTGATTTGGTTTTTCTCAGATGAGAAAAATTTTGCTCAAGATCAAAAACTTAACAGAAGAAATGACAGATGGCTTTGTTCAGCCAAGAGTGATGCACACAAAATTTCCTTCAAGTGTTATGGTATTGGGTATTGTTAGCAATGAAGGACATGTTATGCCACCACACTTTTCCTGCAAGGTCTTAGAGTAAATGCTGCTGCTTACATTGAGGTTCTAGAAACAGTTGTCAAGCCCTGGATTGACAACATATGCAACGGTAGGCCTTACATATTCCAGCAAGACTCAGCTCCACCCCACAAGGCTGACCATTTGTACGAACACAAGAGGCTGACCATTTGTACGACCACATCACACCCAACATTTGACCTAACTCTCCAGATCTCAATCCACTAGACTATTATGTGTGAAGTGTTGTTGAGGAGGTTAATAAGCAGCATCATAACACCAAATACTCTCTTAAAGCTGCAATAGTTTGAGTAATGTCTGACATAAATAAGGACCAATTAATAAGAGATTGCAGCCGATTTTGACCTCGTGTAGAGGCAGTTATTGATGCTAGTGGTGGTTTTATTGAATAAAATTAAATAATAGTTAGCTAAATTTCATGTTTACTTGTTTGTAATTAAATATAATTATATTCATTTGTTCAGCAAGTTTTTTTTACTAATCCATAAAATCTGTCCTCAAATACCAGCCGCACCCTGCATATATACAAATGAGGAAAATGTACCACAGCTTTTAAAACCTGTTTAGAAACTTGGAACAAACAGTAGGTATAAGTTAAGACAAAATAAAAAAAAAAGAAAAGAAAAAAAAATAGGAGTTGGCTCTCATTTAAATGAATATTTACACAATATTTTGTCACCCAAACATCTACATATGATTCAACTTAAAAAGTACTTTTGCTAAGAACATTATTAAGTGGCGTATATAGAACACCTAAATGTTCTAGTTTTTCAAAATGTAACTATCAATAATGCCTCGTCATTAAGCAATAAATGTGTTAGTTTTTAACCTATAAGAATTAAAACATTAAATCATAGATACTGGAAAAAAGGTTGCATAACTTGATGAGCAAGTGTCCTGGCAAACCAATGAAGGAAAGAAAGGAGCCAAAAATAACAATAGGCAACACCCAGCCAACATCCCCCATTTTAAGAAAATAGACAGAGTCAGAAGAAAAAAAACAAAAACTTCTTGGGTTTAAAAAAAAAAAAAAAAAAAAAATGTTCAGTCAGCAGCTTTTATATATGCTTTTCAGTACTTCTTATGTAGTCTGACTGCAAATTAGTCTGTATCATTTTTTAAGTGAATTTCAAAGACAATATTTAGTTATTTTTTTAAATAAATTTAGTTAAAACATATGTGCAATTTTGTTCCAATATCTTTCTGCCATACTTAAGGTAGCTTCATGATTCGATCCTAACAAAGATGTATCAATTCTTAGTTGGTCTTCAAAGAGACGTCCTTCCAACTGGCCAATTCTTGACACTTCATTTAATCAGCCTAATCAAGAACAGTACTTGCTTAATGTCTAATTTTGTAGAAGTGGTTTATAATACACTTCGCTTCCAATTCCACCAGATACACAGCATCACCTTCTTTGGATACAGACTGGCTTTTGGAATGGTTCAATGGTGGAACTCCAGTTTCATCAGGACCTTTTTCACTCAGAATTTTCCATTGCTTGTGGTCTTTTTAAAAAAAAAAAAAATTTTTCTGTCGAAATGAATTGTGAGGCACCCAAATTAATTCAAATATACGCTCTTAAGTAGGTGCCAAAGGGAGTCATCAGTGATGTAAATTGACTTGGTTCGTCAGGGAGTTTCACGTCTTTCAACATCATACACCCCATCACCAAGTCAATCCAATCAGGAGATCAATCCCTGATTCTCCCTCACAATCAAACGCTAGCAGATACTCTGGCCTTTTTAAAGAATTAGCCAAAAATAGACCACGTATTCCACACACCCAATTGGATGTTTGTAACAACCAATCCACTGCACAAACTGTCTTTTAAACATTGATTCACATATACAGATGTTTTCAAATGCTCTACAATGCTCATGAGATATGTGGCATATCTCTGATGTCTCATATTGTGTGATCAGAATTATTTTCAATCATTTCAATTTGGTCACCAACAACAACCTTCTTACCAGAATGTTCCCAATCTTTCAACTTCTGAGCCTAGTGAACCACTTACAAACAATAGTCCCATCTATGCCATTATCTTCATGACACATCTTTTTCGCTGTTTGTACAGTGTTTTTTTTGTTTTTACTTATCTGGAATTGGAAGAGCATCCAATGACGAAAATGCATTTCGTTTTCACAATCCACATACAAATCATGACTTGTTGAAATGTCACATTTCAGAATAAATGTCAAATTTCAGTCATGTGTGAAACAAAATCAAGTTTTCAAATACCACCTATTGAAAAATACAAATTTTTGTTCCAACTAAATTAAAAATAAGCAAAATTTGAAAATGAATAATTGCTATAAAAATATCAAAAAATAGTTTTAAAAATTTTCGCTATAACTTATTTCTATTTATCACAAATAGAACAAGACAAACAAAGCAAGCAACAACAGACGAAGGGAGCATGAGTTCTAATAATTAGTATTGGATATTGCATCTGTAGTCTCCAATATCCATGCCCAGCTTAAATAGAGCTTGATCCCAGGCAAAACTAGACTCACATATGCTGATTTTCTAAGTAAGCCTGTTCTTCCCTTGGAAGAGTGGTATACCAAAGTCTTTCTACCTCTATTTCATTCCATGTTGTCTTATCAAGTATACAATATCCAAATTGTTTAAATAATTGTTTTGCCTTTATAAACAACTTTCAAGATCTTCCAACTTGTATTTTTTTTTTTAATTTTTATTATAGTATAATCCAAATATCTGAAACACAAAAGACTCAGTATTTGTGATTAGATATTAAATATATTTTTAAAAATCCTTATCTATAAAAATAGAAGAGTTGAAAGATTGACAAGAGAAAAAAAATTAAATGGTCAGGATATTAGTTTGAACAAATTATATAAATTATAATTATAATGAGCTAAAAAGAAAACCTGCAGTATAAAGAGAAAAAAAATTAAATGGTCAGGATATTAGTTTGAACAAATTATATAAATTATAATTATAATGAGCTAAAAAGAAAACCTGCAGTATAATTTGGTCAAAATAACATTGTGGTTACAGATTGCACAGAATTTTGTTGAATATTTAAAATAAAAGAAAGAAAAAGTCTCCACTAATCTGTTTCTGAATATGCAAAAGAAAAATTGGAAAAAAAAAAAAGAGCACCTCTACTAAAATTAAGAGTTGCTAACTCTCCCAAATTTTTTGACTTTGGTACCATCTTATGAGTTAGAACTATTTCTGTTTATTTAAAAATTTCTACAAGAAATATATTTTACATCACTTAAGCACACAGTTCCATACAATATTTCATGATTTCAAGTTTGAATAATGGAATTTAAAAAATAGAACATACTACCACTGTTGATAGAAAATAAGATTAGAATAAAGGCAATAGCTAAAGTATGAAATTATTAAAATCCTATCTTGTTCTATATTTTTTCAGCTTTATACTTCCAAGAGAAAATATATTGTAACCCATAATAGCAAAGCTATGTCAGCAGCACAAATGTTAGGTAAGCAGTCAGAGTAATAATACATCAGATCATCTGATGTATTCATTTAAATATGAGAAAAATCAATTAGCAATAAATATATTTTTAGCATTAGGAAGAAAAGAAAAAACTATTATTACTATAAACTATTATTGTAAAATTAACTGTAGCAAAAGAGTCAAATTCAATATGGAGTGTAAGGGACGCAACTCTTTCCGTAGGAAAATGTCTGACACGACGCAACGCAATGTATACCGAACACGGGTGTAACGGTTTCTGCCAATTTCTCCAAGCGACCTGCTTTTATGGAGCCCAGACATACCTCATTAGTATGCGTGTAACGCAACCTTGCGAGACTGCACGAGACCCTGAATATTAAAAAATCGTGGAAGCCATCTTGGACCCTTTCTTTCTTTTCTCAACCCACAGGCCAGACAGAGCGAGGGCGTTTTGGAAGGTAAGCCATTTCTATTTCCCCCACACTCCCCCCTGATCTCACAGAGTTGGCAGGGAGGCGGCGATCGCTTTCGCCGGGTGCTTCTTCGAAGAGGGACGCTGCGAGCCTCATCGTCGCTTGTGCTCCCGGCCCGCGGTCTGAGGGTCGAAAAACACCGCGCCCCTTGAAGGCTACTGATATCTGAGTCACTGCCTGATGGAGATGGCGGAACCAGAGCGATGCCTCACTGGTCTCAGATTCCGATTCACTCTCAAACCGTCCAGTGGTGGTTGCAACTGCGTCACCGGCCACAGGTCCTTAACGTGACGGGGCACACCATCGACCCGCACCGCCTGCGGGCTGATCACCTCAGTGATGCGTCCGGTTCCGTATTTCGTCGTACACTTGCTGCACAGGTTCTTAATCCAGTTGACATCTTTCTTCAGCCTCTCTCCGGTTACTTTCAGTTCAGGCAGCGGGTTGGTCTCTATGCCCTTCACTCTGGTACCTATGCAATGTGTCGGCTGGCGCCGTAGAGGGTGAGACGTCATCATCCCTCGGGGTCACGTTGTACAAGTAGACTGCCTCAGACGCTGCGCAGTCTGTCCTGGCTGCGATGGTCTTGACGGTCCTGTGGTTCCACTCGATGATCCCATTTCCACTCGGTACGTGGGCGCACTGGAACCGTAGGTGCACTACCCAGCCATCCGCAAACTTCCTGAACTGCTCAATGGTGAATGCGGTGCCATTGTCAGTTAATATCTCCATTGGGGCGCTACGTTCAAGGAAGATACTGTTTAACTGACAGATGATGGTGGCTGCATCTTGCCGATGCAGCAGCCGCCATATCGCAAACCTAGATGGACCGCAATCAATGAGCGTCAGGAAATCCACGCCGTTGTGGTGAGTAACGTCTATCGCCACCCGGCTCCAGTGGCTCCTCACGCTCAGCTGCCCTTCCAGAAAACGGGTGCTGGGTCTATAGACTGGCACGCCACGCAGCTTCTGACCACTCTCCTGACATCTGTCTTTTGAACTCCTGGTTCAACCAACTTGGCAAAATATAGGGTCCGCTTGACTCCAGGGTGCCCGCTTTGTTGGTGGACTTCTTTGATTCGATTAGATCAAATGGGACTCACGGACGCAGCGCAGGTGGGTTGCACGGGCAATAGCTTTCTTAGTGACGTCAAGCCACCTCGTTAAACAATCTGCCTTGTTGAGGCTAGATTTGACCAGGGACACCTCCATTGTCAGTGCGTACTCTTGCACCAGCTTCACGATCGTGTCGAGTCGTCGGATAAACATCTCGCTGGTGGCTTTAGTCCGCACCCTGGCCCTCCCAGTAAGGGTATCCGAGATCCACTTATGGATACAAGCAGAATCCATGAACAGACGAGGGTGGTCGACTTGCAGAGGATCGCCAAGTTGATCCCCCTTGACAGCATCGGACCGCTAGGTTTATGTGCTGGGAGTCTTTTTGGACGAATTAGCAAGCATCTTCCACCATGGCTCCATCATGAATTATCGACACGCCACAGCAAGAGAGCTTGTGTCAACCCACACACAGAGGTCTTGGCTGTCGACGCACCATCTGCCCTGCGCTGGGTCTACCTTGCGTACTCTAGTGAGGACCTCCCTCATCGTCGTGAACTTCGTCATCCCATCCAGTGGTGACGTCAGATGCTCTCCGCTTGATGAATGCCACTGCAACACGCAGCCAGCCACCTACAAGGAAGGTGCCCAACTAACTTGTTGCACAAGGAAAATATGCTTCGCCGTGTGACAACGGGGGCATGTCTGGGACTGTTTCCCCATTTCCAATACAGAACGTCATCCTCTCCCCAGACCTGCAAACCAAGCACTCGTGCACCATCCTGTAGCCTCTCTGGTTCCTTGCTGAGGAGGACAAAGTTGTAGAGATGTTCCTTCACACACGCCACAGATATGACTCCCTTGTTCACGTAATCAATATATGCAGATGTTGCCCGCTGCATGCGCTCATCCTTCGTCAGAATGGCGTCAACAATCATCTGCATAATTGATGGCGCCACATTGAGTCCAAACCCTGTGCAGGTCAGGCCACAGTGATCGGTTCACACGCACTTGAAGGTAT